TAAAAACCCTAACAACTATGGACTTAGTGCCTTATAGATGAACATTGGCAGCTATGGACTTAGTGTCATACAAATGAACGTTGGAAGTTATGGATTTAGTGCCCTATAGATGGACATTAGCAACTACGGACTTAGTGCCTATCATATAACATTCGCAGATATGAACTTAGTGCCTCTTAGATAAACCATGGCAGCGATGGACTTCGTGCCTATTCCTTAGGACAATCCTTAGGAATGAATGACTGAAGGATAGATGATTCTTAGGGTAGATCTATAAGAATAAAGAAGATAATAGGGCTGAAAAGTTGGGTTATTTGTTTGATGATTAAACATAATAATTATATTATTGTGGGTTAAAAACCCTATATAAATAATATGTTTATCATGTTTTCTGTGAACAAATCCCGCAATACTACTTTTCAAAAAGGGTAATTTGATTTTTAAATAAGCATAAATAAAATTAAAAAAAAATGACCGTAAATTAGGGGATGTCATACACACACACACACACATATATATATATATATATATATATATATATATATATATATATATATATATATATATATATATATATATATATATATATATGAGAGGGAGAAAGAGAGAAAGTTAGGTTCATATATGAAACCTAATTACTGTGTGATTGTATGACCAAACTTCAACGATTGATCTCCCATGGGTATGATCGACATTTTCTTTTTTATTATCTAAATTAAAATATTTGTATATATGGAAGCAATTTGAACGTTTCAAATGATCGTATATTTTCCATAGTTTAATTACGTATCAGATCAGTTTACTTAGGTTTCAGATCGTAATCTTTATTGCATGCCTCCTTTATTAATCAATTTTTGTTGTAGTTTGTTTGAAGCTATCATACACACCCATTTCAAATTTGTTGTGAGAATGGGTCTCGTCGATGATGAAATCAACACCTATATAGGTGAGGGATTTGTTTGATTTCAGTTTGCAACAAAGGTATGATTTTCTTTGTTTTTTTTTCCGTTTATATCTTTCACATTATGCGAATTTGAACTGGGTTTTTTCATGGTTATTGTCTCATGCCATCGTTATATGAAATTCTTAAAGAATGGTCGACATTATCATTCATAAATCATCATGGGTTTTAAACGATATGAAACTTTCAGTGACGAGAAAACAATATTGATAACAATTTTTTTTTTTCTGATTTGTGAATAGGCAAATATGTTCTTAAAGAATCATATATTCTTACAGAATTTTGAAAAATTTATATTTATACATTCTACAAGATTTTTCATAATTAATTTAAATAGTTGTACTTATCAATTTATATTAATAGTCAATGTATTGTATGTTCAAATGAACAGAATAAAAGAATTTGTTTTGTAGTGGTTTCAGTTTGAACATGACATTCTTTTAGATTAAACATAAAAATTAATATGGCTTTTATATATATATATATATATATATATATATATATATATATATATATATATATATATATATATATATATATATATATATATATATATATATCATTCTATTGAAGAGGATGAAAGATATTCTTAATGAGTGATTTTTAAAGCATTGCATGGGACACAAGAAAGCAGTGCATCCAAAGTTGGTTTTGGATATAGAGGAACCCCATAATATCCCCATTATATTATGACTCAAGGATGTGTGAAACCACGTATGAGAATGTGTTGTTGAAAGAAATGCACTTGTGGAAAGAAAGATGTTTTGTAGGATTTGCAATCAGTTGACTGTTCATGATATGAGGAATTGATATTTATGTTGTTATAAGTAACTAAGTACTTTATCGTTTGTTTAGCTATTTTACCTTTACCTGTTTTGGTCTGTCATTCAATACATAATTATTTTTAAAACAAAGTTATGCTATTTTACCTTCACATGTTCCGGTTTATTATTCGATACATAATCGACGATGTGGTATAACTAATACTTCCATAATATATATTATAACAAACTATTCTTAGATATTTTACATGTAACGTCAACGTAAAATACTTGGGACCCATCAATTACAAGTAATATCAAACAAATTTTCTTTAAGAATCTATTACGGTTAACAACATTTTTAGATTCATGTTTTTCTTATTTAATATCATAATATTACATACAATTCTAAAAGAATGTCTATGTAAATGTAATTAAAATTATTACTTAATACCATACTAATACAAAATATTCTTAGAGATTATCCATGTAATACAAAATATTCTTAGAGATTATCCATGTAAATGTAATATACTATTACAAACTATTATTAGAGATTGTCTATGTAAATGGTACATCTTGGGAACCACAAATTTCAATTATTTCTTACTCATATTCCTTACAAATTGGCCATTTGAAAAAATCACATTCCGCGTAAATATGTTAAGAATCACCAATAAAGTCTTTTCTTAATGGGGATATATAGTAAATTTCTAATATTTTCATCGATTTGATAAAAAATTTTAAATTTTTTTTTTTTTGACACTAAAGTCCAGATTACTGGCAGTTTCTGACACTTTTACCATTTTTTCTCGGTTAGCCGGTAATTAGGATTTTTTTGTCAACAAAATAAAGTTTAGGAGTTTCTTGTCAAATCGTCAATTAGGACTTTACTGTCAAAAAATAAAGTTTAGGACTTTTTTGTCAACTCGTTGAAAATATTGGGACTTTAGTGTATATATAATTTTTTTGGTTAGAAGTTTCATGATATGATATTCTTTAAGCATAAGAGTTTTTGAAACTTTCTCTAATCAGCTAGATCCTATTGAAATCATTTACGTTTGCTTCTTTTTAAATCGTTTTTTTAATCTCAACAAACCGACATTAAAAAAAAATTGAGATAATCAAGAAAGAAAGAAAGAACTAGGGTTATGTTGGCTTTTTTCAGTCTCAAAAATGGAGAAATTAGAAACCTAAAAAAGCGAAATTGCCATACTTGTATAAACACATGGCACATATTTCATAACAAATACTTCATATTTATGTGTTAGAAGAAAGTGACTACACACTCACACAAAACATATACTTAATACATTCAAACAATACTTGTATTAAAATCGTGTTATGAAAGGGACTATATACTCACTTGATCAGAAGATGATCGAGCAACACTATGACATGTAGAAGTAGTATTCTTCGGTGAAACTGTGATCTCTTCACACACCGGGCCTCTCGCGGGTACAGCTTTGGCTCGGAAACTCTTTTCTTCTCGGGATCTTCGGAACTTCGGGACTTGCTTCGTGTCTTTTGATAATACCGGGGCTTCGGGGGGTTAAAATAGGGCTTAGAGAGAGTATCGGGAGTGAGAGAGTGATAAAGTAGCAACCTAAATCGTCTGCCCTTCGATTTCTATTTATAGGGCTGATTTTATGGATTCACGTCGTGAATCTCAAATATTCACGTCGTGAGTTCAGTCGTCATTGCATTCGTCATCGCAAGTTGCGTCTGTCAGGCTCTAGAAGTCATAAATACTGAGTTCAAGTCGTGAACAATGTATTCACGTCGTGAACTCTGTCAGTTTTGGGGTTTCGCGCCCCGAACTTCAGAAATTCATAACTTTCGCATACCAACTACGTTTTCGACGTTCTTTATATCGACACGTAGGTAAAAACAAGATGTACAACTTTTATTTAGACTTCTTCGGCTAACTTTGAATTTATTTTTTATTATATTATTTATATATTATTTTTAGTAGGCCGGAATAGGAAAACTCCGTTATAAACTCGTAACTTCTTCATCTGTCGTCCATTTTTGTCTGTCTTTTCACCGTTGGACTACAATCGACAAGATCTTCAATTCTCGTTTAGATTGTTTCGGCTAAATATCGCTTGATCTCATATTCAAACTTCGGGTTGTACACTGCTAAGTCGAAACTTCGAAAAATCATAACTTCCTTATACTAAGTCAGATTTGGGCGTTCTTTACATGCACGCTCTCGGTTTAACGTATTCTACGACTTTTGTTTAGATTTCTAAATCCAAATATCGCTCTATCGTAAATTCACTATTTACGTCGCGCTGTGTCGTGACGGTTTTGTCGCGAAACTTTGACATGTAATAACTTCTTCGTTATAACTCGGATTTCGGCATTCTATATATGTACGGAATCCTTGTAACATATACTACAACTTAGTTAAGATTACTCCTTGTAAATAGTCTTCCATAAAAAAATCATTTTTGATGCTTATCGTCTCTAAATTGACTAGCCCGGATCTACGGGTGTTACAGTGTCTAACAAAACCGAAAAACCGAACCGATCAGATCAATATGAAATCAAAAAAATCGGGTACATACAGGTCGGTTTCGGTTTTTTTTATTTAGATATCTGGGACTAGCTGAACCGAATCATCGTGTGTGTGTGTATATATATATATATATATATATATATATATATATATATATATATATATATATATATATATATATATATATATAAAATCATTTCCTATTTTTATTTATTTTATTTTTTGGGTACATATAGTAATAATTTAATTATATATTTATAATCCATATTTATTTGTAGATTTGACGACCTATGCTCCACCCATTGGCAATGCGGGGTATGTTTGACTCACGAGACCAGACCAAGATTCAATATGCCATCATCAAAGTATGTTATTTTTTTTTCTAATTGTTTAAGCCTTGAAGGAACGCTTTAATAGTTTTTAAAAAGTATAAAATATTATATTTGTATAAGTTGAATTATAATCATAAAGTTAAGGTTTATATATATTTTCAATTATAAGATCTATTATGATTTTTTTATATATAATTTTCGCTTCATGATTTAATTTAAAAGCAAATAGTTTGGGTCGGTCCGGTTAAGATTCTTTTTTGCCGGTTCAAATAACCCTGTTTCAGACTCCGAAACAAGGTGTCACAGTTACGTATGTGGAGGTATCTGGATTAAAATGTCTATAAAAGCTCCATTTATCATACCTCTAAACTCACACTCTATAACACACTATAGTGTGGGTAGTTGAGCGAGATCAACACCACATGGCTTCCTCCACCACCACCCGTCTCATCCTCCACGATGAACCTCAAACCCGCCACCATCTCGCCGGATCTCCGGTGGGTCGGCGTCTATCCCTGATTAACGTCCATTTCAGGATCCCCGTTTCCTTCCTTATAATCTTTGCTCTGGTTGCTGTAATCCAAAACCAATCACAACAAATATCGGCGGTAGACATCCTTCACGGCGAAGATAAATACTCCTCCGCCACCACGTTCGCATATCCGTTGCCGGAGGTTGAGCTGAAAGGAATTGCCATACAGTTGGAATCGAATGCCGAGGTTGAGTGGCAACGCTCAGCTTACCATTTTCAGCCCGATAAGAACTTCATCAGCGGTATAAACTTAATATAAATATTTATAATTCGATTAAATGACTTTTAAGAATCTCGTAAGCCCTTTTTTTTTTTTTGTAAAATGTTGAAAAATAGTTTTACGAGAGTTGGTTTTTGAAAGAAAAGTACGAAACTTGTTTTAGCAATTTCTTTTCACTAATCACTAATTTTTACAAGCTAGTTTTTAATCGTTTTGAGGACCATTTTTGTAAGAAACAATAAACTATCGGTATTTATCTGGGTTCATAATGAATTTCGTTATTATTTCACTTAAATAGTGTCGTAGTTGATTGTTAAATGAATAAAACAGTTAAACTAAACGTTTGTGGTTTTCGTTGGCGAATTAGTCCAACATTTAATGTTATATTGGCCTTTCTTTAATCAAATTAGTTGGACATGTTTCGAGCAAAACTTGTATCTATTAAGTATTTACATTACGTTTCTTTAATTAATGTGTTCTAAGGTTTCTGTAAACTGATGCAAATTCTTTCTTTTCCTTTTGTTTTGTAATGGTGGCGATATATTGTTGATGACATTGGCGATCCCGGCTTTTAGACCCTGATGGTAAGCATTAACGCCTGCCCTTAATTTATGTTTTTTTATTCATATGTGGAGCTGATTTCATTATTACTTTTATTTTAATTATTAAAAAGACTAAATCACTATCTGATATGAATTATGACACTGACAAAGTCGATATACAATCTTTAATAAAATATAATACAAATACCCATTATGTTGGATCACATGTATTGAAAGGCTAGTTTTTAAAAGTGTTCATATAACATCGTCATCATTTTTCATGCAAAGCATTTGTTAATTAATATGACTGGTATAAAGTATAAACTTTAGATCTTCGGATCAATGAGCATTGAGCATGACTTAAGAAATTGGCAACTTGTTACAAGATGTCAAACAAGGAGCGTATGATATTTTAGCATTGGTATCTTTCTGTAAAAATCTTTATAAATAACAGAGATATTTAACGTTTAAATTTCTGTCGACAGTTGTCTAGTGGGAATTTCATGAATATAAGTTATTTTTTAAATAAAACTTTTGGAAAAGTAATTATTGTTGTTGTTAGTGAACGGTGAATGGTGATTATGACGTATACAATAATTGTACGGAAAAAATGTTAAAACCTTTGGAATGTTTCCAAAAGTAGTAAGTGGTTGTGATTGACTGTGACGCAGGCCCAATGTATCACATGGGATGGTACCATCTCTTCTACCAGTACAACCCGGAATCTGCCATCTGGGGCAATATCACATGGGGCCACTCAATATCAAGAGACATGATCAACTGGTTCCATCTACCCTTCGCAATGGTCCCGGACCACTGGTACGACATTGAAGGTGTCATGACCGGGTCCGCCACCGTCCTACCCAACGGCCAGGTCATCATGCTCTACACCGGCAATGCTTACGATCTCTCCCAACTACAGTGCTTAGCATACGCCGTCAATTCATCAGATCCACTCCTTTTGGAATGGAAAAAATACGAAGGAAATCCTATTTTGTTCCCACCACCTGGGGTAGGATACAAGGATTTTCGGGACCCATCGACATTATGGATGGGTCCCGATGGGGAATGGAGAATGGTAATGGGGTCCAAGCATAACCAGACTATCGGTTGTGCATTGGTTTACCGTACTACTAATTTTACGCACTTTGTGCTGAACGAGGAGGTGCTTCACGCTGTTCCCCATACTGGTATGTGGGAATGTGTGGATTTGTATCCGGTGTCCACGACGCACACGAACGGGTTGGAAATGAAGGATAACGGGCCTGATGTTAAATACATTTTGAAACAAAGTGGCGATGAAGATCGACATGATTGGTATGCGATTGGGAGTTTTGACCCTGTAAACGATAAATGGTACCCAGATGACCCTGAAAACGACGTTGGAATAGGACTAAGATATGATTATGGAAAGTTTTATGCTTCTAAAACTTTTTATGATCAACATAAAAAGAGAAGGGTGCTTTGGGGTTATGTCGGTGAAACCGACCCCCCTAAAGACGACCTTTTAAAAGGATGGGCTAACATTTTGGTACGTAACTTTCGATTAAATAACGAATAAATGGTTAAGTTTCCGTAATTTAGATATTACGGATTCTTTTTCTTTTTTTTTTCTTTTTAATTATAATTTATTTTGGTTTTAATGTTATAGAATATTCCAAGGTCTATTGTTTTGGACACGCAAACGGGAACCAATTTGATTCAATGGCCAATTGAGGAAGTGGAAAAACTGAGATCTAAAAAATACGATGAATTCAAAGATGTGGAGCTCCGACCCGGATCACTCATTCCCCTCGAGATTGGCACAGCCACACAGGTAATTTCATAATATTTTCATCTTTTGTAGCATTTTTCTTTTGTATGTAAAAAAAATAACATTAAATTTCTCTGAATGCAGTTGGATATAAGTGCGACATTTGAAATTGATGAAAAGATGTTAGAATCAACGCTTGAAGCCGATGTTTTGTTCAACTGTACGACTAGCGAGGGTTCAGTCGGGAGGGGTGTGTTGGGCCCATTTGGAGTTGTGGTTCTGGCGGACGCCAACCGCTCCGAGCAACTTCCGGTGTATTTCTATATTGCAAAGGACACCGATGGAACCTCAAAAACTTACTTCTGTGCTGATGAATCAAGGTTTCTAATAGATTTCGTTTTTTTATTTAAGTTCAAAGTTTAGTAACCAAAACGCATATGTCAGCCGTTGATTGAGTTCTGAATATATACGTACATACATCTACTAATGCAGATCATCGAAGGATAAAAGCATAGGAAAATGGGTATACGGAAGCAGTGTTCCTGTTCTTGAAGGCGAAAAATACAACATGAGGTTACTGGTACGTGATCAACTCCGGTTATTTAAGTACCAAATTTTTGCAACTGTTGATGATTCGTCGATCTCGATTCAAAATTCAAATGATCTGAATTACACCCTACTGATTCAATTTGATTTTACTTACAGGTGGATCATTCGATAGTGGAGGGGTTCGCACAAGGTGGAAGAACGGTGGTGACATCAAGAGTGTATCCGACGAAGGCAATCTACGGCGCTGCTAAGCTATTTTTGTTCAACAACGCCACCGGAATCAGCGTGAAGGCATCTATCAAGATCTGGAAAATGGGGGAAGCACAACTCGATCCTTTCCCTCTTTCTGGGTGGAGTTCTTGATTATTAATTAGAATTGGTTTAAGTCCCCTCCTTGCGTGCCCCTCTATTTGTATTATATGTTATTATTGTAAAATATAATAGCATGATTATCGATTCCGGCTTAATGGGGGGCATTATGGTAGCTTGTTATGGTTGGTTGGAGTACTTTATTTGTGAGATTATAAATTCAAATTTCATTCCTGTCTTCGTGTCGTCATTTTATATTCATAGTTTGTTAGAAATATGGTTTAGTGGCACTTGGAAATCTGAGAATCGTGATAATCACTTTCAAATCGAAGTATTTGGGTGGTACTCCCAAATCCTCAATTGGATAAGACTCAGATAAAATCAAAGAGAAAGAAAGAGAGAATGAGATGGTGTAATTTTCGTGAGTACCAGAAAACTGACTAAAATTGGTTATATACATTCCTTGTCTGAAAAACTGTCAAAACTGTCATATAACAGTTTTCTCAACAGTCAAAACTGTTATAAATCCGGGTTTGGTATAAGGATTAATGCAAAGTCAATACAGGGTCAAATATTCAAAATTTGGATTTTCGATCCCAGCCAGGGGCTCTGCCCCTTGGACCCCGCTCCCAGGGGCGCTGCCCCCGGACCCCCGTTCGTTCAGGGGTTTCGACCTTAAATGACAGTGTACTTTGATACTTGATCAAACTTAAACAAGTGTGTACTCCACACCTTCCTTACTTGTTTAATATTTATCAAGATCATTTTTAGTCAACAAAGTAATCCCATTACACTTAAATAACATTGATGATAACAAATCACCAACAAACCTCCCCCATTTAAGTGTAATCTTGATTAATTTAAAATGAAACATAACACCAACAAAACTGATGCATAAATGAAATATCGTGACGATTGAATTTCACATTAGTATATTATTCATTCCAAATATTCGAATATTAGGGTGTCACTAAGGATTGAACCCTTTCTATTCTAAGTGAATACATGAAGATAATGTACACAACAGTTTACATTCTCAAAGTTCTAACTTGACACTATATTTTACTAGCTTGTGTCCCATCCTTCAATAAGCATATCAAAGTCAAGTCCCAACTTCTTGAAGCAGCTAAACTTCATGCTTATATAGGTAGTTCTTTTGTCTTGCACCTGCAAATGCAATTTTTCAAAGAACTATTAAGAAATAATATTTCAACCTCCTTAACTTGCAGTACTGAACACATACCTTGGGATGATAATAAAATGTGTTCCAATCTTCAAATATCAAGCTTTCCACATTGAATTCAGCATCTAATATTGCATTAGATGGGAATTGGGTATCTTAATATAAAAGATTTAAGTGGACTTTAAACCCATCCCTACAGCCGCCTTGTGCACAAGATCTCTTGCTAACCCTTTGGTTAGATGATCGGCTAAATTCAACTGAGTTCTTACAAACTCCACAGATATCACACCAGTCATGATGAGCTCACGAATCATGCTATGTCTAACACCTAAATGTCTAGACTTTCCATTGTACACTTGACTATAAGCCTTAGCCAAGGTTGCAGCACTATCACATCTGATGGAAATGGTAGATATCGGCTTGGGCCATATTGGAATTTCATAAATCAAATTCCTTAGCCACTCAGCTTCTTTACCAGCAGCAGACAAAGCAACAAATTCAGACTCCATGGTTGAGTTAGTAATACAAGTCTGTTTCTTAGATGCCCAAGAAATGGCACCTCCTCCAAGAAGAAACACCCAACCACTAGTAGAGGAGTGATCCTCTAAGTTGTTAATCCAGCTGGCATCTGAATAACCTTCTAAAACAGAAGGATATCCACTATAAGTCAAACCATAATTCATGGTCCCTTTTAAGTACTTAAATACTCTACTCACAGCTTGCCAATGATGTGAACTAGGATTACTAGTATATCTACTAAGCCTTCCCACAGCATATGCTATATCAGGCCTAGTACTAGTCATGGCATACATAAGGCAACCAATAGCCCTTGAGTATTCTAATTGAGACACTGGAGATCCTTTATTAGGTAGAAGCTTAAGACTAGGATCTATAGGAGTGCTAACAGGAGAACAATTCTCAAAGTTAAACTTTTTCAATATCTTCTCAATATAATGAGATTGAGAGATTGAAATCCCATTGTTTCCTTTTCTAATTCTTATACCAAGAATTACCTCAGCCTCCCCCATGTCTTTCATATCAAAACTAGATGATAAGAATTTCTTGGTTTTATCAACTTCTTCTAAATCAGTACCAAAAATCAACATATCATCTACATATAAGCAAATCATGACTCCTTTACCAAAAGTATCAAATTTGCTATATACACACTTGTCAGCTTGGTTTAATGCAAAACCATTAGACAAGACAACTTCATCAAACTTTTGATGCCATTGTTTTGGTGCTTGTTTCAAACCATATAATGATTTCTTCAACTTGCACACTTTATGTTCATTTCCAGGCATCACAAACCCTTCAGGTTGTTTCATGTATATTTCCTCATCCAAGTCACCATTCAAGAATGCAGTTTTCACATCCATTTGGTGAATCACAAGATTATGTATAGCTGCAAGAGCTAATAATAATCTAATAGTAGAAATTCTGGCAACAGGAGCATAAGTATCAAAGAAATCAATGCCTTCCTTTTGTCTAAAGCCTTGGATAACCAATCTGGCTTTATACTTATCAATTGTGCCATCCACCTTCATTTTTCTTTTGAGGATCCATTTACATCCTAATGCCTTGCAACCAGGAGGTAAATCAGCCAATACCCAAGTATTGTTATGCATGATAGAATCAATCTCATCATGAATGGCCTCTTTCCAGAAATGAACATCCCTAGAAGCCATAGCTTCACTGAAAGTCTTTGGATCCTCTTCAATATTAAAACAATATTGATATTGAGAAATAGTCTCATTCCTTGTTCCTTCAACTAAATATAGTTGAAAATCAGATCCAAAAGACTTAGCTTTTCTAACTCTTGTGCTTTTCCTAAGTTCAGGTACAGAACTTGCACCACCAGAAACATCTTCAGCTTTAGTAGTACTCTTGCTGGAAGATTGATGAATCATGTCCCTTGGTCTAGGTATAGATGTAAATCTTTCTTCATCAAAGATAGCATCTCTTGACTCTATCACTGTGTTTACAGACACAGAGTCATTAGATTCTAAAACATAGAATCTATATGCTTTGGAATGCTCAGCATATCCAATAAAGATACAATCTATACCTCTCTCACCCAATGTTTTCTTTTAGGTTCAGTGAGCCTTACAACTGCTCTACAACCCCAAACTTTGAGATAACTCAAATTTGGTACCTTTTTACACCAAAGTTCATAAGGAGTATTCTTACTCCTTTTATTTGGAGTTCTATTCAAGATGTAACATGCAGTTAACATTGCCTCACCCCAAAACCCTTCACTTAAACCAGAATATGACAACATGGAATTAACCATTTCTTTCAAAGTCCTATTCTTCCTTTCAGCTACACCATTTTGTTGTGGTGTATATGGAGCTGTGGTTTGATGTATTATTCCAGTTGATTCAAAATAAACTGGATCATAATACTCACCACCTCTATCAGTACGCAATACTTTTATTGATTCATTTTTATGAAGCTCAACTTGTTGTTTATAAATTTTAAATTTATCAAGTGCTTCATCCTTAGAATGTAACAAATAGATATAACAATATCTAGATGCATCATCAATAAAAGTAATAACATACTTCTTGTTTCCAAGGGAAGGTGTTGCATGGAAATCACATAAATCACTATGTATAAGATCCAACACCTTGCTTTCCCTAACAACATCCTTGAAAGGTTGTCTAGTGATTTTAGTTAGCATGCATGTTTTACATTTTTCATTATTTTGCATATCAAAAGCAGGAATTAAACTCATTTTAGACATGTCTTTTAATCTCTTATAATGAATGTGTCCTAGTCTAGCATGCCATAATTCAGATTTGTAAAAATTATTGCTAGTACTACTAGAAGCCATGCAAATAGAATTATCACTAGAAGGATAATTAATATTAAGCCTAATCATTCCATTACATATATATCCAAATCCTATAAAAGAACCATGTCTTGACAAGATATACTTGTCACTTTCTAACACTTGTTTGTAACCACAATTATTTAATACAATTTCAGACACGAGATTCTTACGAATCCCTGGAACATATAAAACATTGTTTAAACACAAACATTTCCCAGAAGTAAAAGTAAGTAAAACAGATCCTATGCCCTTGATTGGTTCAGTTGCAACATTTCCCATCTTCACAACAGATCCATCTTCAATTGGTTGAAAGTCCTTGAACCAATATAGATCTTTGCAAACATGACTTGTTGCTCCCGAATCAACCCACCATGCAACTTTATCATCCTGCACATAAAATGCTTCAGAAATCACAGAAATATAATTCTGAATATATTTAGAATTCTGCAATGAAACAGAAATCTGACCTTGTTGCTTTTCTGGATCCTTGGATCCACTTGGTCCAGCACCATCCTTATTCACTTTGCGAAGACGACAATCTTTCTTGAAGTGACCCGGTTTGTTACAATTCCAACAAACCAACTTAGCCTTCTTGTTGGAAGACTTGTCATCCTTCCTTTAAACTTCCTTTTTCCATTAGACTTCTTGGGATTCTTTGAACTTTCTCCTTCCACCATGTTCACAGAAGAGGAACCAACTTGGTTCTTGCCTTTAGGATTGTTATCAAGTTCTTGAGTCCTTATGGATTCTTCAATCCTTAAATGGCTTCCAAGTTGAGTCAAGGTCAATTCCTCCTTGTTATGTTTCAGATTGTGTTTAAAATCCTTCCAGGAAGGGGGCAGTTTGTCAATTATCACAGCCACTGAAATGGCTTCATCCATTTTCACATTGTGTTGAGTAAACAGTCCCAAAATCCGTAATATTTCATGGAATTGTTCCATAACAGGCCTGGAGTCAATCATCTTGTAACCCATAAAGTTACTAACAAGAAACTTCTTACTAGAAGCATCTTCAGTCATGTACTTGGATTCAAGA